TATTAAACGCTTCAAAAAAAATTTTTTTTTAAGTTTTAGTCTACTGCTATTGTTTTGGGTTAAACTAATTATAATGGCTAAGACCTTTGAAATTCTCTCTTCTGAATACTTTGCATTAATAGTTTTTGTAGTTTTTTAACATAAGTAGTTCGAGTTTTTTAAGAAATATTAAAAATTTTGTAGCAATACATTTCTAATACATATGTATTAACAAAAAAAAATATTTCAAAAATTTTAAAAATATTTACGATCAAAACTTTAAAATTATATTTAAATCAAAAATAATAATTACAAAATAAATACAAAAAAATTTCTATTAACATTTAATTATAAACAATAATAAAAAATAAATTACTAATATTTAGATTATGTTCAAAACAATAATATTATAATAAAAAAAAAAAAATTAAAAATACTATAAATTAAAATTTAATTATAAACAATAATAAAAAGTAAATTACTGATATCTGGCTTATGTTTAAAACAATTAAATTATGATAAAAAATAATAATAACAAAATAATTAAAAGTACTTTAAATTAAAATTTAATCATAAACAATAATAAAAAATAAACTAATAATATTTGGAGTGTGTTCCAAACAATTATATTATGATAAAAAAAATATTATTAAAAAAAGTTATTTAATTTTTTATTAAAATCGCATAAACATATATAAAAATTATTTATATTAAATTTAAATCATATATTATAATATTAAAAATAAATAAATATATAAAATAAAACAAATAAAGAAGTTATTTTTATGTAGAAGTCAATTATTACGACAAAAAATATCTAATATTTATTTAAATCCAGATTATTAATAAAAAACCTGAATAAAAATTTTATTGAATTCACATAAAATAACTAATAAAAAATATTTAAAAAAAATTTATCTGCATTTAAAATCAAATTATTAGTAATAAAAACTAATTCATTTAATTTTTTATTAAATTCCAAAAAAATATTTTATCTTCTTTTAAATCCAAATTATTAATAAGAATAAAAACTAAACATATATAAAAATAATTTAAATCATATAATATAATATTAAAAATAAAAATCAATTATTATGACAAAAAAAAATATCTAACATTTATTTGAATCCATATTATTAATAAAAAACCTGAATAAAAGTTATATTGAAATCACATAAAATTACCGACAAAAAATATTTAAAGAAAAAATTTTAACTTCATTTAAATCCTAATTATTTACAAGAATAAAACAACATTTAAATTATATTTAAATAACATATATATGAAAAATTAATAAAAAAACGTTTTCAATTATATTTAAATTGTAATACAAAATTCAAATAGAAATGTCCCAATTATTATTTATTTATATTGTGACAAAAAAAGTATTTAAATAAAAATATTTCAATCAATCAAACATATACTAATAATATTTTATAATGATTAATATTGCACCAAAAGCAGTTTAATCTTCATTTAATTTAAAACATTAATACAATAAATAAAAAATATTTTGATTATAGTGAATGTGTTAATTAATGTGATTTATTTATAAAACTAACAGTAAACTATAATTGATACATTATTTATTTAAATTAATTATATTATAACTGATAAATAAAAAGTTTTTAACTTTCATTTAAATTTAAATTATTAACCCAAAAAAAAAATTTTATTATATTTAAATCAGATGTAAATCATAAAAATTAATAAACAATATATTAATTTTAATTAAAAAATAATATTTTGGTTATAAATTATGACAAAAAAATTTTTAAAATATTTTATTTTCATATAAGTCTAAATTTTTAATACAAAAAAAATATTTCAATTATGTTTGAGTCAAAAATAATAATAAAAAAAAAAGTAGTGCTGTTAACTCATTACACGAAATTCGCTTATGCTCCTAATTAATACGATCTTAATTAATAATATCCACTGTTAGTTTCATCGCTGCTCTTCGCTGTTATTAACATAAGTTAATATTGTATCACGCTCCACTACATTTGATATAAATTTTTGGTACGTTCGTTTACTAAGGTTTGCCGGTTCTGTGCGCAAACGCTCATGCATAATTTATTGTTGTACTTCGGCATTTGCATATGGACGTAAACGCATGCTTATGGTGTATGTGTATACAAGCCTTTACATAACTACAAGTATATGCCTTTATATACACATACTTACTATGTGTATGTATGTATGTATATTTGCGCTTTATTCAATGCATTGAATGTCACTTAATAGGCAACACAGCAATATATTAACATTCTAAACCAGTCGAAAAATATATTTTGACAGCGGCAATACAATTTTTTCGTTGCCTTAATGTTTCTATTAAACGGTCGAGAACGATACACATGCATATATACATATGTATGTACATACATATATGAATGTATACATATCTACATACATAGATACATGCATACATATGCACATATATGCATACATATGCACATATATTAGTGTTATAAACAAATATATTCGTAATCATTCGGTCATTTAGTCATAACGTCGTTTTGTCGCTGTGTTACTTGTTCACACCATTCGTCGATTACTCATACGCCGCGGCTGTCGATGAGTTTTTTGGCTTAAATTATGGCTAACAATCAGGTCGCGCTCAATTCGTGAGACCTTCATTTAGTCATTGCTAACCATATGTATACCTACTTGTATACCTATATATGTATGTCTGTTTGTAACGAAGAGAGAGCAATCTCACACATTTGTGTCTTTTTACGTGCTTACAAACACATCTACATCTCGATATATAAATATATATATATATTCGATTTTTGTGTCTTATTATTTCTTCATATTTTACTTGTATATTTTATTTGCTGTCGCTCTGCTTTGTCATTCATCTTCACCGGCTCAGTTCAGTGCCGCTGGTTCGCCGATCCGTCGATCTGCTGACCGCGCGTCGTTTAGCATTTTTGTTTGGAAATAAACGCTGTCGCAGTTCAACGTTTTTTCAACACATTTTCAACATTTTTTCAAAATTTTTTTCGATATGAAGCTTTCGATGGTCTTCCTTTGTTGAAGTTTGCATACTCCAAGCTTTTAGTGTTAAACTTGTTGCGTCGCCAATAAAGAAATTTCGTTTAAATGTTGTGATTTCGCCAAAATAATATTTTTAGAAAGTCGTGCTTCTTTCTAGATCTAAGTGTATACAGACATACATACCTAGATCGGTACTGTTTTTCATTGCGCGTGTGTAAATATTCTCGAATTAATGTATAATTGTTGTACCAAAAATGCTCGAAGGTGAATTTACTTTGTATTGTTGTTGTAGCGCCATTGTAGCTGCTGTCTTGTCAGTAACCTGTTTATGAAATACAATTTCTTTGTGTGTGTGTGTGTGTGTTAAATATTATGTTTTGTTTTTTAATATGTGTGCGTCACAATTCATATTTTAGTTTGCCTGCATGGCGTTCGTAGTTTTTACGGACACGTGCGTCGGTTAAATATATTTACACATTCACCTGTTGAGTTGTGCTCAAAAATAGTTGCGGTGTTAAAAGCACAAAAGTTGTGTGCTGTCCAAAATTTTGGTATAGAATTGTATGAATGAAAGTATAATGTAAATATGTGCAGATTTGAATTGCAAAAAATATATGTAGTTGCGTTGTTTTGTGTTTTGATGCTGTATACTGAAGCGTTTTTAAGCACCGATGACATCACTTGTGAACGAAATTGGCAGAAGTGAACTTCTATAATGTAATTTGTTGTGAAATGTTGTAGTAACTTTTTATAAATGGCTGTTTACATGCAGAAATCAACGTAATTTGCTGTGTAGATGTCATCAAACGATATCACGTGATAAAATTACTGTTTATAATCACATTTTAAAATCAGATAAATTAAATTTTAATATGTAGAGATAATTAAAATACAGTATAAAGAAGGAAATACAATTTTGAAAATTTCAAATGATATTTGGTGATGATGTGATCACATCATATGATGTTATTTTATAATTTTTTTTATTTTATTTAATGTAACATTGTAGAAAAACAATTTTGAAATTTCATATGATTTTAAGTGATCATGTGACTTCATCATATGACGTTTTATCGCATGTAGAATGCTACACTTAACTGTTATTGCTTGAAGAAAAAATTTGTAAAATTACAATTTTGAAAAATTTCAAATGATTTTAAGTGATGATGTGACCACATCATTTGATGGTATATACCTATATCACATGTAACACACTTAATCTCCACTCATATTAATTTAAAATAAAATTTTCCAAATTTCAGTTTTGAAAATTTCCAATGATTTTTAGTGATGGTGTGATCACATCATACGATGGTATATATATTGCATGTATAATGCAGCGAACTTAACTTGAAAATTTTCTATTATTGAGGTGCAAAATAAAATTTTTCACAAACCAAAAATTTCTGTATTACACATCAAAAGTATTTTACAACACAAACCTTTAATTTACATTACATCATGTGATGGAATTAAGTGATAATTTTAGTATATTACGCCATGTATTATATATGGAGCCAAAAATCGTTTGAAAAAATTACTAACCCTTAAAAGTAGTAGCTCTAAAAGATATAACAGTAAGCTCGAAAAAGCTTTTAAAACCCGAAAACTGTTTATTAACCTTTTAGTAACGACGTTGGGTCACAACGACACGCAAAATAAAAGTTTTCATAAATATTCGTCAAACTTAATATATTACACCGTTTATGCAGCTAATTTATTTTTACTATTTATTAGTTGAAGACCCAAGACAATTAAAGTTTAGCAAACATTTCTTAAAATGAAATAAAAACGAAATCAAATTTGAAATTCAATATAAATTTAGTATGGCAACGGTGACCTGCTGCCATCGTTAGTATGATGTGATGTTTATTCTTTATTTATTTGACACGAAACTTTCTTGTTTGCTACCCGAAAATGTGCACTCAAACCTTGAATCAACCCCAAATTTCATGCACACAAAGCTCTTTCAAACTTCATTACTAAATAATTTCTATGTCTTCTCCACTTTTTAGGCCGCGATGATCTCTCACCGTCGAGCAGTCTCAACGGCTATTCGGCTAATGAAAGTTGTGATGTCAAAAAGATCAAAAAAGGCCCGGCGCCGCGTCTACAAGAAGAATTATGTCTGGTGTGCGGTGATCGGGCATCCGGCTATCATTACAATGCGCTCACCTGCGAAGGTTGTAAGGGTTTCTTTCGGCGCAGCGTTACGAAGAATGCTGTGTACTGTTGTAAATTCGGGCGCTCCTGTGAAATGGACATGTATATGCGACGAAAATGTCAAGAGTGTCGTATGAAGAAATGTCTGGCGGTGGGTATGCGACCCGAATGTGTGGTGCCGGAGAATCAATGCGCTATGAAGCGACGTGAGAAGAAGGCGCAAAAGGAGAAAGAGAAACAAACTACTGGTAATTCGCCGATCATATGTAAAAGCGAATCCATTAAGAATGAAATACTCGAACTGATGAACTGTGAACCGCCGTCGCATCCAACATGTCCGGTAAGTGGAGATTACAAATGCGAACGAAATTTAAATATTAATGTTTTACATAATATTGCATTTACAGTTGCTACCTGATGATATTGTGGCCAAGTGCAAGGCGAGCAACATTCCGCCGCTCACGCGTAACCAGTTGGCGGTCATATACAAATTGATCTGGTATCAGGATGGCTATGAACAGCCATCGGAGGAAGATCTGAAGCGTATTATGGTAAGTAAGAAACAGTAGTGTTCAAAAAATGCTAGATGTGAAATAAAAAATAAGCGCAATTCTTCCGCAGTGCTAGTAGAGTACATAACCTCAATCGTCATCAAAACGCGATTGAGGAAACAATTTTGTACTTGTCTAAAAACTATATATTTTAGGTACGCTAAAATGTTTCATTAACTAATTAACGCTATTTTTTATAACTCGTACCACAGAGCACCCCCGATGAAAACGAAAGCCCGAATGATATCAGCTTTCGGCATATAACCGAAATTACCATTTTGACAGTACAACTTATTGTGGAGTTTGCAAAAGGTTTACCGGCATTTACAAAAATTCCACAAGAGGATCAAATCACGTTGCTGAAGGTAAGCTTGATTCATTAATTTCTACTATATCCTAAAGTAACCTAATTTTTTTCTTAAATAAAAACTTGCAGGCCTGCTCATCGGAAGTGATGATGTTGCGTATGGCCCGACGTTACGATCACAATTCGGATTCCATATTCTTCGCCAACAATCGTTCATATACGCGTGATGCGTACAAAATGGCCGGTGTGGCCGATAATATTGAGGATCTATTGCATTTTTGTCGGCAGATGTACTCGATGAAGGTCGACAACGTCGAATACGCTCTCCTCACTGCCATTGTGATCTTCTCCGATCGGCCGGGACTTGAAAAGGCCGAACTAGTCGAAGCGATACAAAGTTACTACATCAATACGCTGCGCGTATATATAATTAATCGACATTGCGGCGATACAAAGAGTCTGGTATTCTTCGCGAAATTACTCTCCATACTAACTGAACTGCGCACGCTTGGCAATCAGAATGCCGAAATGTGTTTCTCATTGAAATTGAAGAATCGTAAACTGCCGAAATTCCTCGAAGAAATCTGGGATGTACATGCGGTGCCACCATCCGTGCAATCACATATACAGGCGACGCAAGCCGAACGCGAAAGTCTGGAGGCCAATGCCGCAGTTGTCGCCACCACATCCACATCAGCCGCTGCAAGTTCATCCTCCGGCTCACCCACTGACATGGTCAGCGGTGGTTTTGCAAATCACTCGCCCAATTCCACATCGGTCTCATCGAGCGCTATCGGCATGAACGGTGGTCTGTCGTCAGCGACGACGCCTGGTACGCCAAGCTTATACGGCATGCCACTCAAACAGGAGTATATAATGGGTCCGGGTAGTGGCATCGGCATTGGCGGCAATCTGACGCTCAAGTCAGAGCATTTAATTGGCATGCAGCTATCGGGCGACCATCACATGATGGGCATACAGCTAAAGCAGGAGCATATGATGGGTGGTGTGGATCACAATACGGCGGCATAGCACCACGCGCACATGCAACAACAAACGCTGCTGCTCGGTGGCAGTAGTGAATGTGGTGGGGGTGGTGGCGGTGTTGTTGGCCGCATGTTGCACGACAATGACGTTCATATGGATGACAGCATGGATGATGCAATGGATGGTGGTGATGTCGTTGTTAGCGGCGGTCAAGGGCTCGAATGAGCTGGGTAGCAGCGCAGCTAGTGAGGAAACACCGCAATTGCTTGTGATGCACGCCGCTTGCGTAGCGCCCATATTTATTTTTTGGGTTTTAATATTAAGCTTTCGTTTGTTGTTAAGCGTTGGGGTATGGGCGCTGCCTAGCGCAGTTGTTACGCAAGGCAATGCGTTGCAGTTGGAATTTGTATGGCAGCTAGACATGCAATCAAGAAAATTTTAGTGTACTTGGTCGGCATAGAAATGTGTGCGTGTACCGTTGTATGTATGTATATGGTGGCGTGTACTTTAAATTTTGTTGATTTACGGTACGTACGCTACAACAAAAACTGCAGTTATTTAGTGATTAAGTGAGCGCGCGCGCAAGCGTTGCGGCATGCACCATGCGGTGGTGGCAAAACACAAAAAAAAAAAAAAAATATTATAGAAAAATAGAAAAACACACACACACGCAGTTTGTTACATTAAAGTAACGCAGCATACTTGTAAATTATTATCAATGCTACTGTACTGTCGTCATTTTGTATTTATATATATAATATTTAAACAATGGGAAAGTGTTGTTGTTGATGGCAGACGTTGTGTTGTTTCTTACTTGTTTGTTTGGCAGCAAAGTTGTATAAGCAAATTGAAGTGCGAGGCGAAAGGTGTACATGAGAAAAACATATAAATACAATTATTGTAAAAACGGAGCAAAATTACTATGCGCTTAGTATGTAATTAATAAAATAATACATATAACAAACAAATTTAAATTTTATTATTAAATTATAGCGTAGCATACATTTAGGTGTAGCGGCCGGCGTCTTTACATCTAAGCGAACATTGAAAAAGCATGAACATTTACTATAGGTCTGTTAACAAGACAGTCTTTTTTTGTAGTTAAGCTAAAACACACAACAATAAACAATATACACACACCTACATATATACCGACACATAGACAGGCTAAACTAATAAAATATAAATTAAAAAATAAATAAATAAATGAAAATGGAGCAAAACTCTGCTAAACTGTATTGCAAGTTGTTTGTAGTTTATAGCTTGAAAGTTGTAAAAAATATTAAATTTTTTTTTTTAATTATTTAACTATTATACAATTAATTATTAGCGCTTACAATTACGTTTATTGACTTTACATATTTACTACAAACAAACATGAAAATAAAATGCTTTTAAATATTGTTTTTATAGTTTCTTTTTTTTTTTTTGATTTTTGTTAAAAATAATCTATTATAACAAAAAAAAAAAAAAAAATTGTCGAAAACTATATAGACACACACAAACAGAACAAAATTAAAAAAAAATTTTTTTTTGTTTAATATTCAATTTTTTTAATATTCATTCATATTAATTAAATGAAAATAAACTTCGAATCTGTGAAACCAATTTGTGTGAAATTTTAAATTGAATTTGAATTATGTTATATGAAACATAAAACGTACTTTGCTTGCTACATATGCTATGTACATATATATATATAATATAATATTGGTTTTAACTGAAATATGCATTTGTACAATATTTTGAAACACAGTTTTAAACTCTCTTTTGCAAACAGGAAGACTCAAATTTACTGTTTTGTGGTTTTTATTTGTAAAAAAAATTTTTTTTCCATTTTGAGTAATATTTTATAGAAATCGCGTTTTTAAGTAGTAGTTTATTTTTTTTTAATTTTAAGTAATATTTCGTAATTTTCATAAATATTTTTTAAATTTTGTTTGAAAGTTTTTTTTTAAATTTTTTAGTAATATTACGAAAATTTCAAAATTTATACTTTTTTCTAATTTTTTTATTAATTTTTTTTTTATTTTGTTTAATTTCTTTCACATTTTTATTATTTAAAAATTTTTGTTTTTAAGAATGAAAAATGTTTCTTAAGAACCACGTTTTCAAGTGAAAAGTCAATTTAAATTTGAGTAATTTTTTTAAACAATATTATATTTATTATAATTTTTTTATTGCTATTTTAATTTTTTTTTTTTATTTATTTAAAAGAACTAAGTTTTTCAACCAAAAAAAATTAATGTTACATTACATAAGTTTTTCAAAAAAATTTGATATTACTACGAAAACTCAACGACAAAAACCATGCTTTCATTAAATTTTATGTAAACAGCATTTGTAAATTTATAGCATATTTAATACGAAAACTGAAGTAGCAAAGTCATTTTATGTGACATTTAATAATTCATTTCAGAACGTTGACAGTTTGGTTAAAAAAATCCGTTGTTTTTAATTATAAAAGTAAAAATAATAAATTCAAACACACAAACACACATACACATAAAACGACAAGTTGGACTGATTTTTATATTAAAAATATAATATTTAAAATAACTTTAAATGAACATGTGAAGTAAAAAACTTATATTTAAAAACGAAAGTGAATATCACACTAATATTAGCGCAGCAAATACTAAACTTTGAAAATAAAAATAATGAAAGCAAAAATTAAGTTAATTAAAATTAATACGTATACAAAAAAAAAGTATAATGAAATCAAAGAAAAAATTATTTTAAACAACACAAACTACGAAATAGTGAAAGTAGCAAAATAAATACGTCATAATTCCCTCCTACTCTTATTTATTTTCAAAAAAAAGTTTGCATAATTATATACATACACATGTGTGTTGCATAGCTAAGTGCATTTTGGCGTTGACATACATATAAAACCTTTGGAAACTCACTTCTAACGGCATTTTGGTCTAGTACTGTGCATGTATTTGTATAACGCATATTTTTTTCTTTTTTTGAAAAAACTTGTTTTTTATAAATATCTTTTTTATATGTTGCTTATTTACATTGCAATTAGCAATACAAATTTGTGACGCTAAAAACACATTTCGGCATTTAAAACAGAAAATCGAGAAAAGCAATGCGAATAATAGTAGAAATTAATATAGCATGCGTGCTTTGAATATTTTTTCTTTACAACAGGCATAGATTTATAACGAAAAAGTGGTTGCAGTTGTATTTTCTGTTTTCTCTATTTGGTAATTTTCGAAAAAAAAAATATATTTTTTATAAATGAAAATTAATTAAAAATATATTATATAACTTTTTTTTGCATTTTAACTAAAAATTAAACTTCATGTAAAAATTAAATCTTATATTTAATAATTTTTAATTAAAAATTTAAATTTGTATAAAAATCAAAATTTATATAAAATTATTTTTAATTAAAAATTAAAACTCATATAAAATTATTTTTAATTTATTTAAATTTTAATTAAAAAACAAAAAAAATAGATACAAGTTTTTTTTTAACTAACAAAAATTTAAAAAATAAATTATTAAATGGTAAATTGGTTTGAAAATTTAATAAGTCTGAAATTAAATAAAGTTTTATTTTCTTATTTAATTTTTTAAATTTTATAATAATTACAAATTAAAAAATAAAATTTTACTTTCTTATTTATTTTTTTATTTATTTTATAATAATAACAAATTAAAAAATTAAATCTAATCTAACTGTTTTTAATTAAAATTTTTTTTTCAAGTTTTCTATTAAAATTTATTTTTTTAAATTAAAAATTATTTTTTAAATGCAATATATGTATATTTAATTTATATAGTCTCTAAAAAGTAAAAAAATAGCAGTTTTTTTCAATAAAATTTGAAATTAAAAATATATAATTTTAAAAATGTGCATTTAACTTAAATTAATTGCTTTTAATTAAAGTTTAATTTGGTTTTTTTTTTTAAATTAATTTCTTTGCATAAAAATTTAATTTTTAAAACTTTTTTATTAAAATTTAATTTTTAAATTTTTTTTCAATTAAAATTGTTTGTATTTTTAGATAAAATTCTTTTTAATCAAATTTATTCTTTTTTATCAAAATTTAATTTTAAAATTTTTTTATTAAAGTTTAATGTGTTATCAATTACAATTTTATGTTTTTTAAATAAAATTAAATGTTTTTAATAAATAAGTTTTGGTTATTCCAATGTTAATTTTTTTTTAGAACTTATTTTTTTTTTAATTTAATTTTTTTATATAAAGTTTATTTTCTTTTAAATAAAACTTAACTTTTATAAAATTTTTTTTAATGTTTACATTTTTGTTAATTAAAATTTCTTTTTAGAAACTTATTTATTTGTAACTAAAATTTATTTTTTTTTTATTTTAAAATTTTATACTTTTTTAATTAAAATTTAATTTAAAACTTTTTTTTAATAGTTACATTTTTGTTAATTAAATTTTCTTTTTCATTTTTTTATTATGATTTATTTTTGTTAATTAAAAATTTTTTTAAATTTTTTTTAATTAAAATTTTTTTTTTAATTTTTTTTAATAAATTTTTTTTTTTTAATTTTTTTTAATTAAAATTTTATTTTTTTTTTAAAGTTTAATTATTTTTCAATTAAAATTTTATATTGTTTTAATTAAAATTAACTTTTTTTTTAATATTCAAATTTTTGTTAAATAATCTAAAATTTTTTTATTAAAATTATTATTTTTAAATGAAATTTTAATTTTGTAATAAAAATATAATTCTTATAATTTTTTTTAGTTATTTATTTTCAATGTATACATATGTAATACAGTCTCTAAAAAATAAAAAATTAGCAGTTTCTTACAACACATTTTTTAAGTAAAAAAATATATAATTTTAGCTTTCGCCAACCAGTACATGAAATAACTCATTGCTGCAATCACTTTTTCGCTAAAAAAAAAAGACTTTAAATATTCTTTTAGCACCTGTGTGCGCTTAGTTTAATAATTTTTTCTACAAGAAAAATTAAAAAAGAACTAATTTGGTACAAGAAAAGTTACAAAAAAAGCTAATATTGTACAAACTTTTTAGTATACTTCACATTTACTCGATTTTTGCTAACAACTGCACACTGCAAAATAATATATTTACATACATACAAATATATATATTTTACATATATACTTCATTTAGCTAGCTTTGGGCTGACAAAATTTATAAATTTTTATTTATTTACTTATTTCGAATCCTGTAGCAAAAAATCAAAATTTTTTATACGAAATTATATAGCATGTATGTACGTATCTAAATTTAAACTTTTATATTTTTATTTATGCTTTTTTATACTTGTATTTATGCGCACTTTGCTTTAACTTAACCAAAAAAGAATTTTCGACAAAATTTTGGCAATATTGCAATGTTTTTTTTTATTAATAAAATTTAGTTCAAAGAAAGATGGCCTTATTTTTTATAGCTTAAAAAGCGTGCAAACGTTAACTAAATTTAAATTTTTTAAATAAATTTTTTTCACTACAAGCTGCAAAGTTGTTTGGAATTTTTTTAAGCTTTTGTTAAAAGCAAAATATTTCTTAAATAAGTTTTAAATATTATTTTAGGTTAACTTAATTGGGAATGTATGATTTATAATGAATAAATTAATGAAAAATTGTGCAATTTTGTATAAATAAATTTAAATATTTAGTTTTTATTAACAAACAAAAAAATAAAATTAAAAATTAGCTTAGAATTGTGGTAAAAGTGAATAAAATATTAACTTTAATTTAATTTTATTTAAACAAAAACAACATTTGTACATTACAAGTCAGTGCGTGTAAGCGTATATATGCATATTTTGTTAAGAAACTTACTTTACTAATTGTAAATTAATATATATATATATTTTTTTCTAGTTTAATTGCAATGTATTATTTTATATATATGTAAATTAAAATTTCCGGCTAAAAATTATAAAAAAAGGAATTTCAATTAGTTGCTTAATATAAAGTGAGTCTATGCTTTTGTACAGC